ACGAGGTTCTCAGTGCTGTGAGCACCACAAATCAAACTGCCTTCACCTCCAGTGTATTCGGGTGAAGACAGCAGATATCTCAGAACTATCTCAGACAAATATCACAGAAACCGGTATATATGAGAAAATAACAATCACAAATTGAGTGAACTGACCCTATATGAACCTTCCTCATGTTGGTTTACGAGGGAATCCCCAGGTTTGACTTACTGTCATTTTGCAGCTGTGGTTCAGTTCAGCGACGTAGATCTTCAGAGAGGAATCTGTCCAATCTAAATGTCCGTCCTGCTCTTCATTTAGCAGGTGCACCTGTAAGGAAATCCTCCTCAGACCTTCATCAGCTGAATCTTTTGTACCGCTACGGCACAGAACCCCACAGGAGTCTCAGTCTGCTGCAGGGAGAGTTTGCTTGTAGTTCACAGTCAGCGGAGAAACTCTCCGAGCTGTCTGACGAGCTCGTTGGAGGATTTCATGTCTGCTGCTGCTGCAACTTTTATTCCAAAGTGATCTGTCCTCACCTCCACTCCTCCCCCTGTCCTCCCTCTGGATCCTGAACAGTGTCATGTATGTGTGTATGTGTGTGTGTGTGTGTGTGTGTGTCAGTGAGAGAAAGTGTGTGTTCTTCCTGCTTTCCATCCCTCATTTGTACATATATTCCTTCCTTCCTGCTTTACCTCTGTATGCTCTGTAGAAGGAGAAAGAGCGAGTGTGTTGTTTATCTGCATGTTTGTGTGAGTGTGTGTGTGTGTGTGTGTGTGTGCACGCTCTTCTATCTTTTTGAAGACCGGTTTGAGTTTCAGATCATGAGTTTGAAGACATTTTTAGGTTAAGGGTTGAGGTTGTTATTATCATGTCATTAATGTCTTCACCAGTTAAATAGAGATAAAATGTGTGTGTGTTTGTGTGTGTGTGTGTGTGTGTTTGCATGGACTCTACAGTACTGTGTCCAAAAGAAATAAGTGGGACTGACTAGTGTGGTGATCTGTTCAGTGACTTGATAACAGTCAGTTCATGCAGTATTCAGTCCAGGCATGTGCTGCTATTAAACTTTAAGGGTAAGTTGATCTTTTCCAGAATTATATGACAATTTGATAAAAATTTGATAAAGATAAAGGTCTTTAAACAGCATTAAATCCTGTAAACAACAAAGTGCAAACTAAGTTTAAAAGCAGCTTACGCCATAGGCTGATGCCAAAATAATGATATTTTAAGGGGACTTTAAGGGTTTTTTGCTGTGACGTAAGACAGTCTTTCCCAAAGGTTTTCCCTCTAGAACGACAATATACTCAATAAATCTGTTTTTTGATTAGAAAACACTACGATTAAGCTTTAGTTTAGATTGAGGGTTAAAATAAGTGCTTTGTTAAGATTACGGAAACATTGTGGTTTGGGTCAACATGACCAACCTATTTTGTTAAGTTTAGGAGCACTTCGATCATCATGGTCACAATAATAAGAAGTTAGTAAAGGTTGTGGTTGACTGCCGGTTGGAAACAGGAAACAAACAGCGGTCACTCCTGTTAAAGTCCGATGTTTTGATCTTCGGGCTTCGTCACTTGAGCGTAAGCAGATGGCGTTTTTGGGCCGTAATTGCTGCAATGTCTGATTTTGAGGTTGCTTTTGGGAAAAAAGGTGGTTCTCGAGGTTAACTCTTTCATCAGTAGAATAATGCACAAACCCGACCTGCATTTTGACTCTGGTAGCAGGAGGACAAAAAAATTATTAGTCTCTTATTTGGTAATGACACACATTTAAACTAAAAGCGTAGTAACTATTACTATATTAATAATTTAAGTTATTGTCTCATCAAAGCATGAACAAACATGTGTGTGTTGTTCCGGTGTTGTTCCCTGTTATGACATCCAGACAATATTTAGCTCTTCATCTGTCAGTCAGCAAATTATCACCTGTCACTCTCCGCATACAAAATATGTCTTTCTTTATTTCTTTCTCCCTCCCTCTATTTCAAGCCAAAGCACTTTCCTCTAAAACCCAGGACCCCCTGGGGGGTTGTAGCGCTCAGCTGCTACCAGTGACCACAATCCACACGTACAACTGCAGGATCACTCAGACGTTCCCTTGAGGCCGGCGTTGGTTACGGGGTAAGCCTGTCTGTGTGTGAGATCATCTGTCTGTGGCCACATATCAACACGCTGACATTATGCAAGTCACTGTGTGTAACTTGAGGTCACTCATACAGTTCACAGCTGAACAGCAGGGGTCTGTACATTCCCATGTGTGTCACCCAGCCTTGTGTGGACGCTTTTAACTTCAGAGCTTTATGTGTGTTTGCATTTCAGCAGCAGATGTGGAGTTTTATTAACAGTGGGACATTTGTTAGAGTCAGAGCTGCTGTGCAGGAACAGTTAGTCAGTAGTTGAACTGTTTCAACATCAGTATAAAAAAACACCAAAAGCAACAGAAGTGTTGGTAACACATTATTTTACAGCTCTGTTATTAATAATCTCCTGAAAGAACTACATAATAAACTAAACAGGTTAAATAGAGACAAAGTCAGCTGTGTTCGATTTTTAGGTTTTGGATTTAGTGTTGTGTAAATTATGTTCACCAGTCAGCAGTCAGATCTCTGTTTCAAGTGTAACATTTTATTTTGACTTCATGTAAAACATACAAAACATAAAAAATGTATAAATAGTACTGAAAAGGTCACTATGACAATACTTTATTATTAATTTTATTAAATAGTAAATAATAGATTACCCATAGAAAAAAGGTGAGATGCCTGCATCTCACACATACATACTATAAAAAGCTCATAAATAGCATCCTAAATAGATTAAAAAAAACAACAGTAGAAAAATATGAATTGTTCCACAACATTTGCTTGTCATTTAGCTCACTGAGTAGAATTAGCAGGCACTGTGAATGTAAACAGTCTCAACGGGAGTAAAGGTCACAGGTGGCAGTACCTTTGCTCAGTGCATTAGTACAGAACATTTTAAAAGGCTACATGTAAATACATATTTTCTTTAGCACATGCAATAAACTTACATTCTGTTTTACTGCCGAATATACCGCTGTGTTAATGTGACGGCCAACACAGCGTTCAAAACGTATGTAAACAGAGCGCCAAAATGCACACACAGTGCATCAAAAACTCAACATTATTACGTCAAATCAGTCTCAATCTGCATTAAATATGACACCTTTGTGTCAGATCAGACCCTGCATATCACCACATGTAAATGACACTAAGAGCCTACAGCTCATGCTAGCAGCTCTGAGAGGCTGTATTTAGGCACTGCGGCACTTTGAGCTATTGTAACATTTGCAAAGCACAAAAATCTGATGTGTCATTCATTTTGCAGACTAATTGGGATATCTGACCAGGTGGTGGCGCTAAATGTAAAGTCAGTGAACATGAATGTCTGTACTAAACTTCATAGCAATTCACCCAACAGTTCACTAACAAATCACCACAATCATAAAAGCTTGATATTCTAGGGACCTTGAATGTTTTATGTCTAACCATTCACTAGACACTGAAATATTTCACTGGATATGTAAAAACTTAATGGCTACTTAATGGCAATCCATCCAATAGCTTTTGAGATATTTCACTCTAGACCAAACTACCAACTGGCTTACATATTAGAAAAAAAACAACTCCTTGCTGGTTAAAAATCATACAACAGTGGTTTTGTTGGAAAACATTAGCAGTTGCTTATGTGCTGAAGGCGGACGCTCAATGTCTAGGGCAGCGGGATTGTCTCTGGAGTTGCCGTAACACTCTTGTTGACCAGTCACAGAAGACTTGTAACTGGTCAGAGATCTCGATGGAGAACTGGAGCACGTCAAAGGCTGTGGAGACGTCAGGGAGGGAGGGGGAAGGTGTCTGAGGAACCTCCTCACTGATCTGAAGACAGAAAGAATGGTTGTGGTTTCAGAGGTTTAGATGCAGCAGCTTGGAAGTAAAATCTGATTAATGTCCCTTTAACTGCACAATGGACTAATATACCTCAAGAGTTCAATTATATCAAACATATAATAAGAATCTACATTAATATTTTAACGTTTTAATGTTGTGGTTTAAAAATCAAATGTTACTTTTATTGACTGATTGTAACTATTAAAATGTAATGTATTAACCATTTTAATTTAAAATTTAAAATGTATTTTGGGGTGAAATTATCTTCCAAATAAGCCATGTTTCAAAAAACAAACCATACTGGGCTTCTCACCTGTTGAAGAGATGCATTAACGAGTTTGGATAGGTGCCGGAGGTGAGTGATGGTGCCCTCCGCTGACTGGGAGGGGAGACTGAAGTTTGCTTTGGCTGTTTTCAACCAGTCAACATGCAGCCTGAAGGACTGAATGTCCACATACAGCTGTGAGAGTGTCTTGTTCACCTGTGGGGACATTACAGACAACAGATAAGTTCTCCCCTGACATACGCAGCCTTTCTACAGTGAGAAAGCGAAATTAATTTCTTAATTCCAGCAGAAACGTTACCTTCAATGAGCTGAAATATCCAGCATCGTGTTGTATAAGAGGAAGACTGTCCAGCCTTTTTTCCACACCGTCAAAGGTTTGAAGTTCATCTGTTTGCTGGAAACATGGTGAGAAGTTGCTTTAATAAAAACAGAATTATATAATTGGGATTTTAAACACCTTAAGAGAAAAAAGGGAGACAAGGTTCCACCTTAAATCAATAATTCAGACTCTGAATATGGAGGAATAATCATGTCTAAAAAATCTCATATAGATAAAATAACATATTTAAATGCTCATATGCAAATATACTATATATGATGTTAAATAAGTTGGTTGATAAAAACATTTGTTTTGTATTTTCTTTCAGTTTAGTTGCTTCTTTGTTTCATTATCACATTTTTTTAAGTGAAAACTTTAAGTTTGTTGTACCATTGTTGCTCTGATATAATGACAGTGAAAGTTTAAAAAAAAAAAAGATCTGATAGATACTAATTATGGTACTTTTTTAACCCTGATGGGAAAATGTAAAGGTCCAGTGTGTAACATTTAGGAGGATCTACTGGCAGACATGCAATATAATATTCATAGGTCTGTTTTCATTCGTGTATAATAACCTAAATATAAGAATCCTTATGTTTCTGTTACCTTAGAATTAGTCTACAGATATATCAGGTTGCCTTCTACAGAGTCCGCCATGTTGAACCATGTTTCTATAGTAGCCCAGAATGGACAAACCAGACACTGGCTTCAGATGGGGGCATTTGCATTCACCGTGCCTTTTGCAGCCACCATAGCTCCTCCTTCACACTTACAATTAAACCACTAGATGCAACTAAATCCTACACACTGGACCTTTAAGCCCTTTGTTGACACATATACAGTGAAATCTTACCAGATCATGGAGTTTACTGTTTTCCCTCAGCTTCTCCACTTGATGGATCATTGGTCTAAACATGCCACAGATGGATGGATTGTTGGTGGGACGAGATGATGATCTGACAAACAGCTCAGCCAACAGCAGCAGGTGGAGAAGACAAGAGGCGGAGTCTGAAAAGACAAAAAGAGGTAAAAGACTTTGAGTGTTGAGTTTGTTGTCGTCTGAAGCTATTTGCATGTGTTTTCTTAAAGGACCAGTGTGTGGTAACCAGTCTGCAATACACATTATATCAAAGAGCATGACACAGCGGAAAAACATCCAGCAGGAGTTGCTCACTGCGTTTACAGCTGCACTCACAACTACACGGACAGTCCCATGACAGGTGGCTGCATTCACTTTGCAGCAAGAGAGTGAAGCAACTTTTCTCCCTCACAGCGACCCAGACCTGGTGTGTGTGAATCAGTAAGAAAACCACAAAGCTGCATGGAAACACAGTTTTATTTCCATCCCCAACACGCACATATCAAACAAGATTAAGGAGGCAGCTGTATTCTGCTTTTTTGAACGCTTTAGTCTGTAATTTAAAACCGTTTATCTGGCATTAATTTTAGGCACCTGCCCGGGTGGTGACTAGCGAGTTGCATGTGCAGAAACACTGAGCTCAAACCAAGACAACAGACTTGATAAGTATTAAGGAACAGGCTCATATTTGGCTCATTTACGCAGAATAAAATGTGTCGGATTTCAGCGTCAGATATAAGTTGCATCCTGCCATCCAGACATTAACAGTCATTAAAGGAATCTGATTAGAGTTCTGATTTGAGATCATAGATGTGAATGAAGGAGACGGAAATAGGTCAGACATTGATTTACAGCATTTAGCATATTCAGACGCTGAATGTGTGCGAGTGTGAGGGGAGGAAACTCTGCAGACTGATAATTTGTATTTCTGAGAAACGTATACCGGGAATAGGTCAGTTCAGAGGTGCAACGCAACTCTATCAGATCTTTTTTTTTTTTGTCTAAATATGACCTGGATACATATTTTTGTGTATTAACTTGTTTTAAAGCTGCATCAGTTCTTTGTTTTGGCCACACAATCATTTGGAGCCGTGTTTCTTGCCTCCTGATGAATATAAATCCAATATTCGCTCTTCCTTTAGCTCTGTTTTTGTGAGAGTATATCCTGCTCTTTAGATATAAATGCTTCTTTATGTTCAACAGCTATAATGTGTCTGCTGTTTGTTCCTGAGCAGGTAGTGTACAGTGGGTTTTTAGAGCTTTTTCCCTGAAAATAGCTCCCTGTTGCTGCTGCTTGAATGAGGTTAATGAAGCAGAAGTTGTGGGCTGTAAACCCAAAACAATAAGCTGAATGACGCTTAAAACTTAAGACTCCAGTGGTAATTGTGTATTGATTTATCACAAAAAAGCACACAACCTTTCGCATTAGGCCTATATATTAGGTCATTTTTAGCATCCTGTGTTCAAAATTAGTTTAGTACCTGACTTGTCCATCTGTTATATGTGGATAATAGCAATATTTTCTAAGCTCTTATGATTTCTATCTCATGTAAAACACTTTGCCTTGTTGCTGAAAGATGCCACACAAATAAACCTGCCTTGCCTGGAATGAATGGGCCACTGTATTGTGTTCAATAAACGCATAAAGCTGCCATCTGTTTGTCTTTTCACCCTGAACTCTGTCAATCAATCTGCGAATGAATAAGTCCTCCAAATCCTCTGTGGTTTGTTTTGTCTTTCTCTCTTAAGCTTTCTTAATCAATGATGATCTCTGTTCAAGGAAATAACAGTTTAATCAAGATAAGTTCACGTCTGTAAGTTTATCCACTGCTTTATGCAACTTCAAAAAAACCCATAACCCAGGGCAACAAAGAAATGAACTGTCTGTTAGTGTGAGGTCAGGGTTAAGGAATGAGAGGTATGTTGTGGGCTTTTTTTCCCCCAGTCTGCTCTGGGCCTCCTGTTGGAAAAGGAGAGGGGAGCTGGCGACGAGGTCTGACTCAGATTAATCTGTGTGGTGACATCATCAGGCAGACGCCTCAGGCTGCACTCTCTACGGAGAAAACATCCACTCTGATTGTCTGACACGCTGCACGCTAAACACTTTTACTATCATTCAAACTCTAATAGCAGTAACTACTTTCTGGGTTTCTTTAGGTCACAGGACACTGTGAGGAAAATCTGGTCTACCTTTGTACCAAAGCTCCTGTTTTTGGTACCAAAGAAAAACTATTTTTCATGCATTTTTATCTGTTTCACTTTACATAAGCTAAAAACTACATTCAATAATTATTTTAATCTTACCTCCTTATACTCATATGTGTCTGTTATTGTGATGCAGTTCTTATTATTCAGAAATACTTTTTAATTAGGTTTTAAAAGAAAGTCTATAGTTGATATTATTTAATTATCAATTATGTGCAGATATGAATCAAAAATCTTTGAATAATTAAATGTAATTGGTGAGGCCGTCTTTAAATAAAAAGCAGCGTAATCATGACATTAACTTTTAGCTGCCTCTGATGTCCCCTAGAAACAATCTGTGGTGGATGAAAATCTCTTTTTAAGTGATTCAAATGCAGTGCAGGGATTGGGGACCCCACCATTAACAGTTAAAACACTAAATAGAGAAGTAATTACAGAATATAAATATACATTGCATGGAAAGAAATTGCCAACAGGATGCTACTTCGTGAAAATATTGAGGATTATGACTTTAACATGTTTACACAGATCCTTCTAATTTATTAAAAATCATGTTTGGATCTTATTCCAAGATCTGGAATGTAGCAATGTCCTGCCGGGAAAACAATAATCTTCTTTAACAGAGAAAAATAAAATGTTGTATCATATGTCACTATGAGTCAGCCAAAAATGACACAGTCTAGTCGGTTTGACAGCATTTCCATGGCAGACAGTGATGAGCTCAGGTGATGTGAGGTGGAAGAGAGACCTTTCACTTTCCTCCCTAATAACATGAAAAACTGTGGTTTAACTGCAATGTTTAAACACTCTACACTTAGAGCCTGAATGACAACTAACAGATGTTCACTTACATTTTCTTTTACTTCAGCACCAAACTGGCCAATGAATGAGTGCACTCACAACTTCCTGCCAACGTAGCCCATTAAATAACAGTTCTTGCGTCACAATTTCTCAACATCCAATAAGAGTTTTCAGTCAGCAAGGGACAAAAACAAGAAATTTGGAATCGTTTCATAAGACTATTGGAAAATTACTGAAGAAGACATCAGCAAAAAATCTCTGTCATACTAGAAAAACATCCTCCAGCAGTGTTGTGTACAGTCATGAATTTGGCAGATAAACAGCTGTGACAGCATTACAGCTCAGAGCAGAACTGCTTAAGAAGCAGAGTGAATGGGCCAGTTTTGATGTCTTTAGCAGGTCATTTCATCAGCGCACGCTCACTCAGGCACGAAACATCAACACACACGCAGCGTCTCACACACTTCCACAGTTTCCGTTCCAGTTCGTCAGATGCTGAACGCCTCGTGTCCTCAGCCGGACTTTTTACTTTCAAGAACTTCCAATGAACTTCTGAACAGATGTTAACAGTGGCTGGCAGGAAGTGCCAGTGCATGCCCTATCAAGTTCCTCCTAAAACAACCAAGAAACTGTTAACTGTCAAGGAACTGACAAACCACGAGTGTAATGTTTGACTTTCAAATATGGCACATCAGGATCACTATGGTGAGGACACACCATGTGTTTTTAGATGCCATGTGAAGACCTTGTATTTCTATGAATTTTGATTTTCATGCCATGCTTCTTCTACCGGTTGAAAAACAAAACCTCCAAACTTTCAAGCATAGGAATCATTCCAAGACAGCTGAGCTAAAGCGACAGTAATCAATATCAAATATTAATCAATGATTATGTTTAAAGGGAAAGGTTGCTGTCACAACAAACAATGAAGTCTGACCCTGCAACACGTTTTCACTACCAACTTGTAAAATACTGCCGCTTGCAGCTTCAAAATATGACACTGTGCCCGCCCCTGTAGCGTCATTTCTGACGCGCAGCATCGTATTTTGAAGCACAGGGCCACTGACCAAGCAGCAACTTGGTAGTGAGACTGGGTTGGTCGCTGGCCCCTCCCAGTCACAATGTGTCCTATAAATTGTGAAAGCTCTGATTGGTCTGGGTCATCATTAAGCTGGCAAGTCACAAAAGAATTAAGGAGTGTATGACCTCCTAATGTGACACAAGACAAGACAAGACTATCACAGAACACAAACATATTGTGTAGTCTGATCGCAGCATCCATTCCTACATCATTATGAACTTTTCATTTGAGAATATTGCAACAATAAAGCTGAAATAATAATGTATATATTCAAACAAAAATGTTTAACTTGTCTGTGTGTGTGTGTGTGTGTTAGGGGTTTCCCTGATTGGTTAGAACTAGTCAGCAATATGATTGTGTGCTGCAGCATCAGACTTTTATATTTGTAAAATTCAAAAGAAACTCTGTCACATTTTAACACTTTAAATTGCAGCTAAAACAAATGTCATACAGTTACTCACTCATCCATCACTGATTGTCTCTCTCACAGACTCTCTCTCAAACTCACTCAGGCTAAAAGTAAAAGTAAAGACCACGTGCAGTAACCCCCCCCTCCTCCTCCTCCTCCACCTCCCCCACACACACATCTTCACTCACTCTCTTAAAGTAAATATAAGTAAACTTACATTTCATCTTTCTGCTCCCGCTGAAGTAAACAAACCTCTTCCTCAGTCCAGTGTGTGTACTGTAAGTGTGTGTTTGTGTGTGTGTGGACAAAATGTAAAAGTTCCCTTTTATAGCACTGAGTATGACACATCACCTGAGTCATCAGCAATCGTCGCCATTCTAGCATCAACGCCCACACTGGACAGCCCCCCCCAACCCTCCCCCTAACCCCCCCCCCATCCTGAAAAGACTCAAATGTCTTTGTTTGTTGAGGTGATTATGAATGGAGTAAATCATGAATAAAATGTAATAGAAGCAAAATCAGAAAATACCAAATTGAACATTTCTCTCATCTCTTCTGTTTCTTGTTCACACATTGAGCTTAATGCCAGAATGTAAATAAGATGAAGACTCAACAAGGAGAAAAGTGACAGGAAGAAGAAATGTATCATATGATAAACAAAGCTTTTGGACACTGAAATGTCTCTTTCCAAATGTCTTAAGAATATCCTGAAACTAGAAGTAAAACAAAGGAAAGGTCAAGGTACAAATGAACTGAGGTTTCCCAAAAGCAAAGTCCATTAATAATAAATGCA